GTGCGCGTGTGTTTTCAGCCGCCATGACTGGCGCCACCGTAGCGGCGACCGCTCGCCGTCGGACGTCGCGCACGCGCGACCTGCGCAGTCGCGCGCCGCGCAGCCACGCGCGACGCTCGCCGCGGCTCTCAATTGCGCACGGGACGCGCAGCCAGCAACATCGGTGATCCATGTGTCCGACGAGAAGGCTCCCGCGAACGCGCGCGCTCCGGATCTGGACGGTGCCTTGGACGCGTCCTCTTCTGTGACATGTCGCTCGAAAGTCCCTTGCTCTTCGATCTCGTTCTCTCCTTTCGATCGTTCCTCTTTTCGAGCATTCAAACGCGTGCGCTCACGGCAGGAAGCCGAATGGAGCATTTAAGCTCCGTATATTCCGCTCTGTGTGGAATCGACGGATCAATCGCGGCTCCGATTTCCATATGTTAGCAGTGAACCGCTCTATGTAACATAAAGAGAATTAGCCGTGTTTGGTCTCGTGTAAACTTTTATTTTAATCCTCGATTGAAAAACGTTGGAATCCGCACACACGCGATTTTATTCAATCGTAAAGATGTTATAATTTAAGCAGATGTTACATTTCATGTGATAGAAATACATTTATAGTGCGAATAAAATTTTAGATTAATACATCTCATTGGCTACTTCTCGTGCTTGATCCTAATAATTCATACTCTATAATTAGATAATATGCGTTATGGATTGTTAATTTATGTTCTTTTTTTTATATTATAGTAGATCATATTTTTTATATCATATAAAAATATCACAAAGCTTTGATCCGAAGTCTCTTAATAATTTATGAACACTTTTGTTATTTTCAAATTTTATTAGGACATACCATTTTTTGGTTTGAATCAAATGTAAGATGAATAAAGTATGATGGAAACATGGGAAGAAAGAAGATTATGTCAGTAATCTGAAAAAGAAAGAAAATGGCATTAATTTTAAAATATTTATTTCTTCTATATATGTTTTACCAAAAATAATTTGCAATCAATTAATCTACGTCCAATTCTTAAATATATACGGTAGTGAAACCTTTTCGAATTAACTTCGCGCATATAATTAATTAATTTAATTACTATCTAATATTACTGAATACGCATACGGCTTCAGGATTCATATTTCCAAACTATGAATTTCATTTGTGAAAACAACTACCGATAATCAATCAGTAAATTAACCACAATAATACTTGAGCTATTAATAATATATCTGCTAATTAATATAAAGAAATATCATTATTAATCCGCGTCGTCATATTTGTACAGTCAAAAAGATAAAAGAAATCTCTTCGATTTTTAATAACTTAAGAAACTGAATGCGACATCTAGTAGATAATAAAAAAGTTAAAAGTACTGAAAATTTAATTCAATCAATTTTGAAAAATATTTGAATAAAGATTGAAAGATTGAAAACTTTCAGACAAATTATTGTTAAAAAATATCAAACAGATAATTGCACCAAATCAATATCTACATCTAGAAATATATTATTCACCAATTTCTCACCTTATTCGTATTCAAACAGTTAACATGTTTCTTGACCGTATATAAACAGATTTCTCAATCATCAATCATTGTTCAGCAAAAAAAATGAAACAAAAATACTGACTCTCAGTATTCATAATCTCAGTCAGTATTCATAGACGGTTCTTATTTCAAGACCGTCTTAAATAATATCTTAAGATGCTAATATAACTCTGTGAATAGCTTATGACATCTGAAGACTTAAGACGCGGTCTTAAATATAAGAATCGAATAAATACTGGCCTCGGACTGACTTGTGAATCGGAATCATGATGTAACATGCGTGGCGCTCTCTGTGGTCAAGAAATAGTACTCTTGTTTCTACGAATAACCGGAGCCACCGGAGGTAAATCCCGGGGGTAATCCTGAAGGATTTGACTTATCAGTAAAAATTATATATAAAAACAGCTATTATAGAATTTGTATGTTAATTATTAAAAAATTCGAAAAATTAATTTTTTTAATAGTTTTGTACGTAACGTAAGATAGATTTATATGTTAACGTAAAAACTCCCTCTTGAATTAAACTTAAGGTATCAAATTTTCGTACGTAGGTATTCGTATTTTCATACAACTAAAAACTGAAAAGAAATATAAGTATATATGTATACACATATGTATTTTTTTATACAAGGATATTACATGCGTATAAAATAATTCATCTCCTTTATTTAATATATTTAATATATTTATTTAATATATTTAATATATTTATTATATTTGTATAAATATATAATATATTCAATTATTTTTCGCTTTCGTTATAATTTCTTAACAACGAAATACTATTAAAAATCTCTTATTAGCGTTCGCGTGAATTTCGACAATTAGCATAAAATTTTAATTTTAGACATACATGAATATTTTTATTTCTTTCATTATTTTCATTCATGTTTGTACATTATCCGTTGTCATATTATGCAGGTAATGATTAGATAAAAACGCAGTAATGCCGTATACATATGGTACTGTCGCGGCATAAATATGTATGCTTATTTATGAAACACTTGTACAACAATATATCATAAATTTAATATTGCATTTTAAGCTAATTGTTTATATTCATGTCAATTTACCGAAATAATCGACGATATTTATATCCTTTAATTATCGTCTTACCTATTTCTTGGTCTATTATCGTCTTACTCTATTTGACAATCACAAAGACTCATTCAGATCAGATTTTCATCTTTAACACTTAATTACAAATCAAAATTTTAATATCATCGTTGACTGTCATGTCACTCATTCAATTGACATGTTCAATTATTTATAATTAACTTTATTTTGCCGTTGAATGATAAAGTTTCTTACAAATAAAAATTGGTATTATTCGTATTGAAAAGTAAGTGTTATACTTTTAGGAATAATGCATATGACATGACTGTCAATGTAATATAGTACACTAATAGTACTTCATCGATGAACATGCTAATGACATGTTGCAATTTTTTATATTTATTTATATACTAAAACTTTGGAATCTTCAGAAATTATATCTTAAAAATTTTTTAGACACAAAACATTTCTGAATTAATCTAAATATATAATATTATATGTAAGTATAATAATTACGTATTATATGTATGTTACGTTTTATATGTAATAAGAATGTTGCTGTACCATTGTTCATAAATGGAGAATATAAGAAAAAATTTATTAAGTTTTTGAAGATTTGTAAAATTATCAAAAAATCATATCATAACATTATTTCTCACTATTTATATAACTCAATGTAAAGAAATCTCAATTTCGAAAATTAGATACATGATTTTCGAATAATTATAATATATCTATTAAGAAGAATGTCTCTGAACCCAATGCAAAAAAGAAGGAAAGTTACACTGGGTAGGTTTATTTGTCAATGCCAAAACTGATCGGTGGCTTTAGCACATTGAAAACAAGTAAAAAATTAAACATATATCCGATTTTAAGTTACGGTTTCCGAGTTACTCGGAAGTTATCCGGTTTCCGTAATTCCAAAACCGTTTAAAAACGGATATAAGTTTATTAGGCATTTTTTACTTGTTTATGTGCTTAAAGCTGTTGCACCAATTTTGGCACTGACAAACCTACCAAGTGTAATTCTCCTTCTTTCAAAGGCATAATGTAGAACTATAAAAAATATTTTATCCTTTCCATTTTGGTCCATATATACGTTTTAAAAAAAAACAGTTATTACCACTTCAATTCTCGTCTTTGTGTTAGCTGTAAGCATAATAATTAAGCGAATAATTTTGCAAACCTGATTTTATATATATTTGTAATAAACAATCCAAAAAATTCCTATAGCTTGTATTAAATTATTTGTTGGATGTTATTATTATATTTATAATACGAAGATAAAAATTAAAATGATAATAACTGTCCTTAAACTGCATAAAGGCCAAAATGGAAAGGCATAAGTAAAATATTTTTCAGTTCAATTTTTGCCAAATTTAAAAGAAATCAAAGAATTACACTTGGATAAATTTACTTGTGAGTTCAGAGATAACCTATATGCAATTTATGCGAAAAGTTAATTATTTGTTAACTTCAAAAAAAAAATAAAAGATATCTTGATAAAGTACTGTACAAATTCTATTGCTGCATCTGTATCATCGGAGCGAGTTGAAGAGAAAGGAAAGCGATTATATGCGTGAATATATGAATAAAAATGTGTCTACTAACAAGATAGTTAGTATTATACAGTCTACGATCTACTCTCAGTCGTATTGTATAAAACTGGATTATAAGACTGAAGATTAAACAGTGCATCCTCATTTTCCTTTTCTGATTCGACTTGCGGCATTGTCTGTGTAACGTCTTGTGGTAAAAGCTCCTCTTCCTCTTCCTCCTCCTCCTCTTGCTTTTTTATTTCTATGAGCATAGTAGTCTCGATCTCTGGCTCTTCCAATGCAACGTAACTTTCCTCTAATTTTGGCTGAAGATTGGTCGTATTTGACTGGGCGTTTCTTTTCCGCTTTTGCTTAGGTCGGTTTTCGTGCACTCGCATATGTCGTCGTAAATCATATTTACCGACAAATCCCATGCCACAATTGTCACATTTTATTGGCTTGCCTTCAGCATGATTGAACATATGCCTCCTCAATGCCGCGCTAACCGTAAACGCTTTTCCACATACATTACATACGTGGGGTTTTTCACCTGTGTGCAATAATCCGTGATCTCGTAACGTAGAACGCTGATTGAAGCTGTAACAATCATATAAAAATGTTAACATCGAAAAATTATATCAATGAGATGTAGTAGATATTTTTATAACAATTTCAAAAATTTTTCAAAAAAAATTCACTAAGTATATTAAAATATTATCTGATATATTAAATATAAAAGATATTATATTAAAGATCCGCTCGAAGCTAATCAATAAAGGACGGGAGAAACGGCCAATTATTCGAGCACGAATGGGTGTTACAGCATATATAATCAATTTATTACGACCTCGTAAGCACCGCTGTGTAAGAACAGCGGTGCTTACGAGGTCGTAATAAATTGATTATATATGCTGTAACACCCTTTCATGCTCGAATAATTGGCCGTTTCTCCCGTCCTTTATTAAAAGATATTGTAAATATATAAATATGTATTAAGTATAAAAGATGTTGTAAATATGTCAATAATATGTAAATATTAAAGATAAATTGATAAATATAATACAATAATACAATACATTTGTTATTTTTTTTTAAATCGTGATATGTGTTTATGAATCTTTAAATTATGACATTTTGCATCATTTGTATCAAACTATAAATAACATATGCTACGAACCTTTTACCACAGACTTCGCACGTGTAGCTGCGAGGATTCGAGTGTATTTTTGAGTGATTCAGCAAGTTGCCTCGTTGTGAGAATGACTTTTTACAAACCTCACACTGGAACGGTTTCTCGCCCGTGTGTACGCGTATGTGCGTTTGCAGCGTACGATTGTTGGGAAAGCGCTTATCACAGTAATTACACGGATACTTAGGTAAACGGATCCCCTGGGGATCCAAATGGCTGATCAGATGCCGCTTGTAATTGCCCTTGTGATTGAACACGCGCGTACACTGATTGCAAGCGTAGGGCGTGACGTGCTCGTGCGTCGCCGCGTGGACCTCCAGTTCCGACTTCGACTTGAAGCGGCAGCCGCACTTTATGCAACGGTGCCGCGAGAAATTGGGATGGCACGCCATGTGCCTCTTCAGATATCTCTTTCGGGAATACGACTTTTTGCAGAGGAAGCAGGAGTACGGGAACTCGCCAGTGTGCGTTTTCACGTGCGCCCGCAGCTCCCGATGGCTCTTGCAGTCCTTTTCGCACAGCATGCAAAAGAACGGACCGTTGAAAGGGACGTGGTTGTCGACGGTGTGCAGTAACGCGCTCGTCAGCTGATCGTAGTTCTGCAGGCACAACGTGCACTGATACGCCATAATCCCATTTTCTTGCGGCACTTCCTTTATCTTTATAATCGCGTCGCTCACGCTGCCCAGTACATTGTCTTTACCGTCGTCAAAGTAGTCGGAATCGGATCCGTCGCTGTCCTCCACTCTTGTGAATTCGACATTGGAATTGCAGCTTTCGGTCAGCTTTGTTTCCTTATCTCCGTTTTGTCTCGTGTCATATTTCTCACCCTGTCTCTGTTTAACCTTCATCATCGTTGTGTCTTGATGCTCCCAGTAGCCACATTTGTTCTTTCTGGTCGCGTTAGATTCCGCGGGACACGAAACATCCTCATTTTCCTGCTCGGTCAGGTTCACTTCGGCGACAAATGTGTCATTGCCATTTTCGATTTCTTCCTGTTCCGGATCAAACGTCAACGCGGTTTCCTCTGACATCGATTCAATCGCACATTTTGGTATGTACATTATTGTGACGTTCTCCGATGTAAACATCTCCGAAATTTCTTCAGGTAGCTCGGTCTTCGTCAACTGAACATCCATTTGGCCCTCGTTCGTTTTTTGTATAATATTATAAAAGAAATTATTCAACTGCGAACTCTCACTACTATCGCCACCATTTTCAACCAACTGAGACACGTCAATTTCATACTGCTGTTCTTCGTCTTCAATTGTCTTAACGTTTGATATTTTCAATTCCAAGGCTCCATCTGATTGCACATTGCTATCTTCCATCTCACTCACCTCTTCTCTCTAAAACAAAAAGCGTAGGCAATTAGTTATAATAGACGAAAAAATACCTTTTAAATAATTTAGCGTTTTTTAAACACTTGTGTTAATTACAGATTAGTCTTCGTCAACACAGTTATATTCGATTCAATAATGAATTATTTAACATTTACTTGTGTAACTCATTGAACAGATGCATACTACAAATTAATATCATTTTTATTCTCCGTCACTATACCTTGACAATGTTCATTTGAGTTTCGTGCAGCATTCTGAGCCTCTTGTCTGACTCTTGCACTTCCAGTCTGAAGTCGTACAAAACGTTAGTTCGATATGCACATTTCGGGCAGAGCTTGTTGGGCAGTCCATCAAATCTATCAATCTGTTGAATAAAAGTGTGTTATTAGCATATTATAGATATAATTACATATACAGCGATATAAACAGAATGATTTTACTCTGCACAGGTTGCGTTTGCTTTGGCGCTTACAGCATCATTTCATCCTTGTTGTTTATCAAGTGTTAAACAAGGACGAATGATGCTTACTGCGGCGTCTACAATGAGACTTAAGATTTAAGAAAATTGACCAATCATAGTCGATTATTCATCTCACATAAGAAGAATAATCGATTGATTAGTCCTGAAACACAATAAATATAGTAAGCCTTAAGCCATAAGAAAATGACCAATCATAATCGATTATTCTCATATTCAACGATTAGTCCATTTCTTAAGGTTTAAGGTCATAACAACACCTATTATGTTTCGGGACTTATTGTTAGTCAATTTTCTTAAATCTTAAGGCTCATTGCAGGCGCCATATAAGCGCTGTAATGTAAGCACCAAACGAAAAACACAGTCATATTCGATAGAAAAGTTTTATCTCAATTAGTACACAATACTACACAAAATATTTTTGCAGCATCAAATTATTAATTGCGATAGTGCCAAAAGGCCTCTCGTTAACCGTGCCAAACGTTAATCGTGTCTACAGATCGATCACGTTAGTCTTGGCTCTGGAGATCTGCTGAAGATGCTCTTTGAGGTTAGGTTATGCGAAAGGCGTTTTGTATTGTATTGCATAATTTTTCGGCGCAAGGCACAGCGCAGGTGTAATGTAATACATATTCTGAAACAATCGTGAGTCTTTTACCTGGATAGACGTGAGCTGCGCGAGCTTGTACGGCAGATTGATCTTGTTGATGATGTTATCGTCGTACATGGGCAGCATGTTGCCGCCCTCCTTCATGCAGGCGCGGCACTTATTCGCGTAGCAACCGATCCTCGAGCTCGGGCTTTGCCACGGCATGACGGCGTCGGGACGCGGGATGGCCCACGGAGAAGCGAGACGGCGAACGATTCCGGCGAACGATCACACTGCAGCCGTGCACCACGATGCGACAGACGTACACACGCCCCAGTCGCGGCAGCCTCGCCACTCCGACCACCCTTAGCCTTAGCTTAGCCACAGCTGATCACCACGACGACGCCCGTATCGTACTCGCCACTGCTCGGGTGTGGCCGATGAACTCGCGTTCCACGTACGCGCAGGAATATACGTGTTTACCTGAAGAATTTTCCGAAGTATCGCTTTATCTTCCTTTCGTGCCGTAGATATTTACACGCTTGCGCGAGGGCGCATAACGATGACAGAGAGAAACATAACCGAGAGAGGACATAACTTTCTTCTATACACACCAAAATGCCCTAACGCGCACTAACACCCCCTGAAGAAATGGATGTAAACTACATGCAACATCCACTTATCTGCACCGCGGGTATACAATTTGTGTTGCGTGTCCGTGCCAACTACAGAATTGTTTTACCCATTTCGCGTATTAAATTATCTGTTAGATTATTGTATAGTGTATATCAGAAAATTGTAATAATTAACAGTAAGCAATTATTTACTTTATCCTAGTCGTGCAACAGAGAAAGAAAGGAACCCGAATCGAATTTCATCTCGTTCAAAATTAATTAATTATACGTATAATAATTAGTGATGTGTGGATCGATCTCTGTTTCTACGGTATTGCCGTCATTCGCTATTTTCGGAGAGCACGCAGTACAATATACGATATGCTTAATTTCTGCGTGATTATTCCGCCAAAATTCAATACAAGAGAATTTTACGTCGCGGCATTATTTCCCGCGGCGAGGCGAGCCGCGGGCTGAGCGGCGCGCGCATGCGCGTGGGGAGAGTGGGGTGACCGGGCTCGGCGGCTCGACGGCCGCGGCGCGCTGGCGGGGCGCGCGGCGAACAGTAGGGAATTGGCACGGCGCGTGGATGGTTGGTACTGCGTGTGGATGGTTGGTACTGCGTGGCGCGTGCCCTGCGCCGCAAGCTTTAATTCGAAATTTTCGTACTCTATCGATCAAGCATTCGAGCAGCACGCATAAAGTAAGTGCGCGTTCGGCAGCACGCACAATGAATGCGTATTCGGCAGTACACATATAGTGAGTGCGCGTTCAGCAACAATTCGTAGTGTATAATTAATAATAAGTGCGCGTTCGGCAGCATGGCCATGCATATAGTAAGTGCGCGCGTTCGGCCAAAGCCCAATCGAGACGCACCGAATTCTCATCGAGCCTACATCCGTCAGTTGCAGCTCAAAATCCGAGGTCATCGAGACGGAGGCGACGGAGATTGTTCGCGGTTCGTCGAAGGACAAGCGAGATCCGAGGAAGGACGATCGTGAACTGAGTACAACGTACGATAAGTAAGTACCAATTAATAATATACTTATCATAAGAATAGATTTCGTATTGAGATATATATATTATACATAATCTATTCAATTCTATCGACTGCAAGTCGTGTTGCAGGTTATTTGATTTTGTCGCTGCACGATTCTGGTTGATCAATTATTACAGCAATATCTTACCTATCATAGAATTTTTTAAATATATTCATTGTTATAAAATTTACTGACTTGGATAGAAAATTTCTAGAGACTCGAGATTCTCGAGAATTTTTATTTTACCAGAGACGTCGCAAAATGATGAATGTTGAATTTCTATTTTAACTATAATTAATTTGTTTTAAATATACTTTTCCTTGCTCTTTGATACAATTCAATATGTTGTCTGTTCTATTATTTCATATATAAAGGCATATTGTATTATTTCGTTTAAAATTATATATAATAACTGCATGAATATAATATCTTGTAATTATATGTAATAATTACAAAAATTTGAACGTAAAAGGTTGATCAAAATGAATTTATTGTTGACGTGATTGATTATTGACATTCGGGAATATCTTGTTTCACAATAAAACGAAATTTTTGCACAAATTGTGTGTACATTTAAAATTAAAAAATTTTTTTAAACTTAAAGGCATAGAGGGAAAAGAAATTATTTTAATCATAAGCTTGCAAAAAGTGTTAGACAATGATAGAATAATAAGAATCGTAATAAGAAATATATAGTAAGAAAAATTACATTTTAAGAAAAAACTTACTTGTCAATAAGTTCTTCGAATTCAATAAAGATGTTTTTTATTGTCTTTTACACTTTTTGCCAAACGCTTGAGAAAATTTCTCTTCCTATCTCTGGAAAATCTGAGAATAGTTTTCGCGGATAGTTTTCTTTTAAATACGGTCATATATATTGCATGCTTAAATTTATATTCATAAATGCATGTGACGCATGAGAATAATTTTGTGTGGTGTCTAACACGTATTTCTTTCAGTGAATAAAATATAAATTTAAAGTACCCGTGTAAGAGGTGGCACTGCGAAAGCACGGAAGAGCTTACGAAGGACGCTTAAATGCGTGAAGGGGCTACAGGGAATTCGTTCAATCTTATTAAAGATTGAAGGAAAATCTACAATAATAAAATAACAAAACTAAACAGACCAACGGAATAACAATAAAATATTTAGACAAATACAATGAGATTTCGTGTAAAAGCACGAATTAAATCGTTGGCAATTGAGACCCTTCATTGATCGATAAATTTCTCCGCGTTCCGCTTATTTAAACCGCGTCGGGTATTAAGTTTTATCCTTATTAATTAATAAAATAGTAAAACTTTTCGCGATATTTAAACAACCACGTGCCGGGACTTGCAAAAGTTTTGGATAACTAAAAATTAGATTGTCAAATTTCTCGCGCCTATTTAAACGATTATGTGCCGCGGATCGCGAACGTTGTCATTAATCAATAATAAGATTGTTAAATATCTCGCCTCTAATTAAATGATCACGTTTCGAAGCTCGCCACCGTTTTGGTTCATTAAAAATAAGATTGTTCAATATCTTGCGCCTATTTAAATAATCACGTTTCCGGGCTCTCGATCGTCTTTGTTAATTAAAAATAAAATTGTCAGATTTCTCGCGCCCATCTAAACGACCACGTCCCGGATCTTGCGAATGTTGTAATTAATTAATCATAAAATTGTTGAATATCTCGCGCCTATTTAAACGATAGCGTTTTGGAGCTCGCGATCGACTTTGTCAATTTAATATAAGACTGTAAAATTTCCGTGCCTATTTAAACAATAGCGTTTCGGAGCTCGCGATCGACTTTGTCAATTTAATATAAGACTGTAAAATTTCCATGCTTATTTAAACGACCACTTTCCGGATATCGCAAACGTTGTAATTAATTAATAATAAGATTGTTAAATATCTCGCGTCATATCGGGCATCAGCGTCAAAAACCTTGGGGTAAATATAATTTTTTATTTAAATAATGTGAAATGTTAATTATTTTAAGCACATCTTTCAAATGAATTTTATGTTTGTTTGTTACAGTATCGCCTACCCAATCCTGAGAGGAGGAGGAGATCTGGGAGAGGCATCGGGCATCGGCGGAGCAACCTTGGGGTAAATATAACTTTTATCCATATAAAATAGATTTTTCGCATTTATTCGCATTTACCTCAGTAAAAATAGTTAAAAAGAAAGAGACCGACTTAAACATTTTATAAAAGCTTATTTTTAGAAAATTGGTTATTGGAAAATAGATTACATTAAAATAAATAATCATTAAAAAAATGAATTAAAAGTTCCGTGATTATTATAATATAATCTATTTTCCAATATAAAATTTTTTAAGAATAAGCTTTTTTAAAATGTTTAAATCGGTGTCTCTTTCTTTTTAACTATCTTTACTGAGATAAAACGATATAAGAATTATCTTTTGAAATTTAAGCATATCTTTCATTTGAATTTTATGTTTGTTTGTTACAGTATCGTCGTAGCTACGTGGCAGAAATAACTCCGCCCGTTGCGCGTCGGACCGGTGAGTCAGAAAATTTTTATATTTTT